AAAGGAAGCCACAGGACACTCGCTGGCTGCCGAGCTCCTCCCGCACCTGGCCACAGGGAGCGAAGGCTGCAGGCTACCCTGTCCTACCTTCCAAGGGAGGAATGTGGGTGTGAGCCATGAGCAATCAGGAAACTGCCTTCCCATCTCTGCCACTGTGTCCAGGTCCCTCTGCCTCGCCCCCCCTCAGCCCAGCACTAGACCCAAAGGTCCTGGCTACAAAGTGCCTGGCCAGTTTCTGATCCGTGACACTAGTGTGAATCCAAAGTGACTCCATCCACGTCAGTGGAGTCACTGTCGATTTCTTCCACCGTAACCGAGATTGCACTCCAGCCCCTCATCTTTCTGGGGGCCACGGACACTGATGAGATGTACCTAGTCCTGTGCAGCAGTAGCCACCTTAACCTCACGGGGGGGGGGGGGGGGGCGGGGCACTGCCCTGGGGTCAGCCAGGAAGCATTTGCTCCAATATTTTCAAAAGTAGAGAACCATTTTTGCACAGCCTGACTGGCACTTGCCTGGGGACAATATGGCCCTGACCCACTGATATGGCCCCGGCCCACCTGCCTGGTGGGACTTGCTCTGCCCTTAACCGATGGTGATTTTCCCGTTGCTGGGGAGTTCCTGGTTGTGCGGCTCTGCTGACATGAGCAGGCCCAGCGAAGGCTCTCTCCCCTTGATGCTGGGGCGGTGAGAGGGCAGTGGATCCCCAGCCAGCTCAGCGGGGTGGTACGGACAGGTGGCTGGGGATCCGCAGTATGCTACGATACGCCGGCCCTGCCGCACTGGGGGCAACCGAGGCTGCTGGAGAGGGGGCACTGTCACAGCCACCCAAGTGCCTGCCCTGCAGGTGAGTGCAGGCTTGCTCCAGCCAGCGACATACCCAACCCTTCCCTGGAGTGGTGCAGGGCATGATGGGCACGGGTGCTGCACTCCACCCTGGGAAACATGAGGGTCACTGGCTGGGGGTGGATGCCAAGCAGAGTCCCTCAGGGGCCCAGTGCCAGCACTCCCTGAGCCGCGGGGCAGGATGGGGTCTGGATCTGCTCTCAGCCGACAAGGGTGGGAGAGAGCCAAGTGCAGGCAGCAGCTTGCTTGTGCTAACAACTCCTCCCCTTGCAGGGGTTTGAAGCCAGGGAGCTGAGAGCCAGGAGCACAGGCCTGCACCTCTCCAGCTAGGGCTGGCAGTAACAGTAGGCTGTTATCCTCGAGGTGGCTAGCCCCTTGAGGAGGCCGCCTGTCCGTCGTCCGTCACGCGACTGCTGGCCACGGGTGGGGAGCACAAAGGAAACCAGCTCGGAGCGGCGCTTTGCCTCGCGGCACTTTTTATTCAAACCACAAGCACCAGAAAACCATGCAATGTACTCCTGGGGAGGGGCCGGGCCGCGGCCTGGGGAGACCAGGGAGCAGGACAGCTCGGTATTGGGCCACGGCCCCCTTGCCAAGTCCTGCTGCAATCCGTGGCTGCCAGAAGGGTGGAGCAATTGTCCCTCCACTGAGTGACACTGGCCCAGGCCTGCCCCCATCCCCGCCCCCAGCCAAGAGACTCTGACTACAGGAAAATGCAAAGCCAGCACCAGCTAAGGTTGGTCCCTCCCTCTCCTCGGAGCCCAAGCAGCCCCGTCCTCTGCGGCTGTCTGTCACAGGGCAGGGCCCAATGAGGCGCGCCCGGGGTTGGGGGTACTCATGCAGGGGGACTGCAGGCTGGCACAGGAGCGGGGCAGGAACCCTGCTCCTGGTGCTGGGCAAAGGGCAGGTGCCAACCTTAGTGCCACTAAGCAGAACACAACTCGCTCTCCCCGTTCAAATAAATAAACAAGACAGAACAAAACAGGCCTCACAGTGGAAACGGTTCCCAGCCGGCTGCCCACACGGGCTGAGGGTACCAGACGCAGAGAGCCGCCCCCGCCTGCCACTGCTACCGCCATCTCCCTGCCACAGGCAGGAGAGAAGTGAGAGCACGGGGCCCCGCCGTGGCTTCTCCACAGCAGCGTCACTTTGTGACCGTAGCGGAGCCTGGTGGCTGAGGACTGGCCTTCGCCCTCCCCCGCCTAGCCATCCGGGCCGCAGGCAAAGCAGGAGCCAAAGGTACTGGTGCCACTTTGGTGCTTGGCTGTCCTGGTAAGAAGCTGACCAGCCCGGCTGCCCGCAGAGCCACCGCCGAGCACCGGAATGACCATTCCACGTCAGAGCAGAGGCCCATCTAGCCTGGCATCTTGGCTCCAGCACCAGCTGCTTCAGAAGAAGAGGCAAGAAAACCCATGCTGGACAATTAGGGAATAGCCTGGCCCTTCCGGACCCCTGGCAGATAGTGGTGGCTCATGCCCAAAAACAAGAGGGTTTCTGCCTCTAGGAACACGTGGCCAGGGCCAGCAGGACCGGAAGCCTGAGTGGGGTGGGAGAACAGACTGGTCTCGTCTCTTGCCCTGCGGTGCAGCCCATGGGCACAGTAAGAGGCTGAGGACCCCAGCACACGGCCCTGGGACTGTGCTACAGGGAGCTGGGCATTGCAGGCCTGTGGGACTCAGTTCTCTGCTGTTCTGGGGTAAAACCAGGGACGTGAGAGGTTAACATCACCCGGAACTGGTTCCTGATTCTGTTTAATCAGCGGCGGCTGCAGCAGCAACCCGTCCGCCATGGGCAGGAGGCTGCTCCAGGCCCGCGGAGCCCACCACGGACAGGGGCTGCTAGGGGCATCTGGTCCACGGCAGGCCTGGGGGAGGTGGCACGGGCAGAGGCTGTTCTGGCCAGGCTGGTTAACCAATTCAATGGGCTTTTACCTCCCTAGTAGAAACCCCACAGGGCTCCTGAGTGCCGTGGCGGGCGGGGGGGCTGGCGGAGTGGAAATGTACAGAACGTGCGGGGAGCGGGTCTTTGCTGGACAGACGGTCCCCAGCTAACAAAGCACCATTAAGATCAGTCTCCCCTTCCACAGAAGGGAGGCCCCCCCCCCCGACGGGGGGGGGGTAAGAGCAGAAGTCAGGGGAGGCTGGCTTCGTTCCGCCGGGCTCGAGGGGAGGGGGCGAGCCCTTTGGAGCAGGCCAAGGCTCTGCAGCTCAGAGGGGTTTATGGCGTTCAGGGCCCTAAAGCAGCCACTGAACAAGCCCCTTCTCGGAGAACGAGGCAAGCTGGCATCGGGGCCTGAGCGCCGAGCTACTGTTCTGCCCAGCAGCACCGGGGCACAGAGCTGTTACAATGATGCCAAGGGGCGTCGGGCCGGCTGCCTGGTGCCCCCGTGGCCAAAGGGGCTCAGAGCACCGAGCGCTCAGTGCTGCTGGGACAGGGACAGGAATGGTCGGAGCGGCTGGGGAGGGGCCAGCCATACTTCCGCAGAGCAGGAGATGGATGACGATCTCTGGACAAAATGTGCGCCGTGTCCTTCTGCCTGGGGCCTAGGGTCCTGAATTAGGCTAGTGGATCCTCAAGCTACGAGCCACATCCCCTAGAATGGCAAGCAAAGCTCTCTGGCTCCGGGCACCAGACAGGGTCAGTCTCCTGCCGCTGTCCCTCGCGGAGCCGAAGGAGACGACACTCACCCACACGCGGAGGTTTATAACGAGGGACTGGAGGAATCAGGATGCGCTGCAGCTGTAGGACAGGTAGGGAGCAGGCACCGAGAGCGGCTAAAAGGGCTGCCTTGGGAAGGGCCCAGCTGGAGACCTGAGCAAGGAACCGCGTCCCCCCCACACGCCGTGTATGAGCTGGGGAAAGCCCTCTTAGGCCTCCAGGTGAAAGAAGTTTCTGGTCTCATGCTGCTGCTACACTAGATTCTGTGGCCGAACACGTGGTCTCCCACTGAGCCAAAGTGGAATTCAAGAGCAGCTGAAAACCCTCCAGCAGCTTCCTTCGGGAGACACAGAATGCCGCAGGCAGCAGGGAAGAGCAGAAACGCCTTCCCTTTCTGCACTTCCGCCTGCCTGCCGGCCTGGGACTGCCTCTGCCTTGCCATGGCTGGGCAGTAGGGGGTGCTCTGGCATGAGGGATGGTCCTTAGGGTCTCCCCAGCACATCCACTCTCACCTGCGAGTGACTCCCCGCCCATCCTGGGGCATCTAAACTCATCCCAGCATCTGTGAAGAGCAATCCCACAGCCGCAGGCAGGGTGGCCAGGAAAGCAGACACAAACCAGTGACACTTGCTAACAGAAATACTACACCCGGGGAGCCCTCAGCGAGTTAGATTCCAAGCCTCGCTCCGAGGGCGCCAGCGTGACGACAGACCTTGCAGCCACGGCTCCCCCAGCGCTGGGGCAAAGGCGTGACTGCGACAAGGTGCTGGCTGTCCGGGGGGAGGAGGTCTCGGGGCGGGCGGGGTGACCTTTACTGCTTGTCGATGGCTCCCAGTTCAGCAGAGTTCTCCTTGCTGGTGGCCTGCGCGTGCCACGAGGTCTCTTTGAACACAAACCAGCAGTTTCCAGCCCACAGGATAAAATTGATGAAGCCGAAGAGCTAGGGGAGGGTCGGGGAGAGAGCAAAGTGCACAGTCACTGTGGATGCACCCACAGCAAGACCTCCCAGCCTCAGGCCCGGGGGTGTCTGGCCATGCACACCCCTCTCTTGGGTGGAATCAGAACTGCACAGCTTCCTGCTCCACCCCCCCGGGACGGAGGCTGCCTCCTCTCCAGCTAATGGAGTTCCTCCCTTAGCTCACCAGGCCTAGGCGGCACGCTGACTTGGCAACGTTCCCTCAGCTCGCCAGGCGCTGCCTCTACTCCCCTTGTGGCACGGCGCGAGCTAAGTCCCAAGGGGCACCCCCTCTCCAGGCAGTGCACTTGGCAAGGGGACAGCGCCCAATGCACTGAGCGTGAGCAGCTCCTGGCGTCTCACCCCGCTGGCCCCGTGGGCCCCTAGCAGCATGTGGCAGTCTGCCCGGTCGCAGGCCGCCCGTGTACACAGGCCCATGGGTCCTGGAGCTCAGTCAGTAACAGCTCGTGGTTCCTGGGTCAAACCCCCCACTCCTGGGGCACGGACCCTCCACCATTGCTCTGCACTAGTTCTGTGGTCACTGCCTTGCAGCCCGGGAGCCAGATCCAGAGCTGGGCCAAACGGGCCGTTACACCAGGTGCAAATGCGGCCGAATGGGCCCGGTGCCCCCTTGGCCGGTGGCCGCGGGCTCTTACCACAGAGATGTTGGCCAGCCCCATGGCCGGCGTGGCCCCGGCGTTGCACACTGTGCTTTTGAACTGGCACACCGACATGGCAGCAATGAGGCTGGACGGCCGCGTGGCCCCCTTGACGTCCGACAGGCCTTTGCCCCAGGCTGCGGCCGCCACCAGCCAGAAGAAGGTGAAGGAGACGCTCACGCAGAAATCCTGCGGGTAGGAAATATCGTGCTGGCTCGGCTCTGTGCGGCTCCTCTCTCTGGCCCAGGCTCTGCTGGCTCCGGGACTTCAACCCACCTGGCCCTGTTGCCTCCAAACACCCCCTGCCCAGGGACCAGTCCCCCGCTCCCTGCTCTGTTCCCAGCCCATCTGGCTGGTGGATTAGGGCAGACACCCAAAAGATCTAGGGCCAATACTCCAGAAAGGCCCCGAAATTCCCTGGCAGGCCCCCAAGTGACCCAGGTCCCCCTCCCCCCATGTACGTGACTCCCCCGATCTTTGATAAGCAAAGGGGTTTTGAACTGCAAGGCTTCCGTGGCCCAGCACCTGTAACGCCTCCCTCTCGTGAGCTGCAGGCCTGGGCACCAAACAGCCCTCCTGCCACATCCCAGCCCAGGGTCCACAGCTCCAGAACCAGCCTCGCACCCACGCTGAAGGCTCCAGTCGCTTGGCCCCTGACCCTGCTGGGATTGGGGGGAGGGTGCCTGCTGCGGGTGGGCTCTGCGTCCGTCTGTTCCCAGGTGACGGCACCACAAGAAGAGGCTGCGGGGAACCACTGATGCCTCAATGGTGGGGGAAGCCCACAGCTCACTCAGCTCCCCAACTTCCTCGCCCAAGAAATGGGAAGTGACTTGTTCAGCATCCCAGAGCCAGCGAGTGGCAGAGCCAAAAATGGGAGCCAGGAGTCCTAGCTGCCGGCCCCTGCTCCGGCTCTTCGGAGCCAGCCCAGCCGTGGGGCTCAGGCAGGGATCTCACCGCAAAGGGAAGCCGCTTGTTCTCTGCGTAGAGGGAGTGAAAGCGCAGGTAGATCACCAGGGCTGCCATGCTGTAGAGGAAGGAGAAGACTCCCAGGGTCACGAAGAACTCGGCAGAGGCTGAGAAGTCCCCCATGAGATACAGCGTCCGCTTGGTGCCGTTGCTGTCGCAGGTTGGCATCTCGAAGGGAATCCTGGCTAACCTGTGGCAGGGAAAGGGAAAGGGGTGGGGAGAGGCGCTTAGCAGGGGAAGGGAGGGCACGGGAGAGGGGGCAGGGCGAGGCCTACAGGAGCCAGGCTGTGTGGGGACAAGCCAATGGTTGTTGGGTCGAGTCTCCGAAGGCCTGCCCCCCTCGATGGGGGAGGGCCCATGGACCCAGGTGTGGACTAAGTGAACAGGCAGGGGGCCCGCAGCCGCCGCGTCAACCTTCCTATGGACGGCAGGGACCCAGGGGGTTATGGGGCCTGGTGTGGGGCAGTGGCGGGCGCCAGAGCAGCCCAGCAGCCTGCTCCACTGCGCCGCACCATGTCACTCTCCTGGCTGCAGGCTGCCGGGTCGCTCCGGCTCCGGCTCCTGCCCCCGCGGTGAGTGCCTCAGAGCACCCACAGGGGCAACGCCTGCTGCCGCCCCGTGCCAGGCCCCATAATCCCCCGGCTCACGTTGCTCGGGGGAGGGGTGGGACACGGTGGAACTGAGGCAGGGCAGGGGCGGGGCCTGCCTTAGGTGGGTTGGCCCAGGCCTGCAAACTGGGTTGGGGGGCAGGGACAGGATAAAACGAAGACACTAAGCAGGGAACCTCACAGGGCACCCACTGCCCAGAGGAGTCCCAGGAGCTAGTGGATGCAGAGGTTCCAACTTCCCCCTCTGTCTCAGGCTCTGCCTCCGCATCACCCCTTCCACCAAGACCCTGCCTGCTGCCCCCCACACCCATTCCACCCTCTTGCCCAAGCTTCGGCTGTAGCCTCACCCAGCCTCAGAGCACCCACAGGAACCCTTCCCTGAGTTGTGCATGGACAAGGGGCTGGAAAAAGGTCCCAGAGTCACAGAGAAACCCTTGTCTGACTGCCTCCTCTTGGACAGGTGGAGACCATCTCGGTCTGCCTGTCGCAGGCTGGCTGTGCTCACAGGCGGGAGTAACCCACAGAGCCCAGCAGCACTACTCCTTGATGATTTGTGTGTGTCGACACTCCAAGAGTGAGCTCCCACTCCACAGCAGTCAGTCCTTGGCCACTCTCTCTGGGTTTCCAGGCGGCTGCCCATCACCGTGGTGTCCAACCACGTCTCTGCTAAGACTGCAATGCAGCCAGTTAGCCAGTAGCAAAGGGTTTTGTGACTTGTCCCTTCAGCTCTGGTGTGGCGCCCACCCACTCATTTCACAGCTGCTAGGAGCCATCAGAGGACACCAGCATCCCGCTGCGAACGCTCTGATCAGACTGCACCCTGCCGGAGGCGGGTAGCTCTCCTTTGTCGCAGCAGCCCCCTGGTGCTACTGACACAGGTAACTTCCACATGCTTGACTAGGACACAGCCACTGTGGGGCAAAAAGTTTCCTGGTTTAGACTTCAAAGGAAAAGAGGGATTTTCTCTTCAACCTGACCCTGGCCCTGCTCTCTTGAGACTACAACAGCACCTAGCTGGTACCTGAGCACGACCGCTGGAAACTGAGAAAGCAAGGCCCAGGCCGGAGTGGGACCTAACTGGCAATAGCCCACCTGGGACAGGATGGTGGATGAAGACTTGACCCGGTCAGTCAAGCCTGCTTTCCCGGGTGTGAGCTTGGGGACTGGGATGGCATCTAGCATATGTCGGAGGCCCTGTAGATACAGGAGCTCGGCTAGCGACAGCACTTGTACGCTCAAGGCCTCACCACACTCTCTTGCCAGCTGTCCCTATTGAGCAGGGACTGTCACGGTTATTTAAGTAGCATAGTACTCCATTCCTCGCTCCCCACCCCCAGCCTCCTAGCCGTGCTCCTAGTCAGATGCATTTCAGTGGAGATCAGAGGTGTGCCTCTATTTATAGCGATCGAATGTTGGCAGGCAGGCCAAGATGTGTGGCTAGATATAGCCATGTTCACACTTTTCATAGGTTTAGCTTCGCAGCGTGGATTTCAGTCTAATTCTGGCCTCTTTTCTGCTCACCCAAGAGGCCTTTTGCTGATCCCTAACAAACAGGGCTAGTCCTGCGCTCGCTTTGACAAGCCTTCCCGGCTTTGGGAGCCGAGGGATCAATGCCAGCCCGGCCATCATGGAACAGAGCATCGGCTCATCAGGACCCATAGCCTGCTTCTAGCAATGGCCTGTACCTGACTCTTGAGCTGAAGCCTGCAGCAGTCAGGCATGGGGTGACGGGTCCTGCAGTATATTCCCTCTCCCCACCTCATCCTCTGGTGATGGAGGGATATTTTCCACAGCCAGCTGCCCCATTGGAAAGTTTACAGCCAAGGGAGCTCTGCACGGTGCTGAGAAGGATGTGGGGAGACGCTCCCGGGGGGTGGGGGTGACTTATGAACACTGCATGTGACGTGGTTGCTGGCATGGTGCATGGTTGGGACAATCGCTGTCTGCGTGAGCAGGTTTAGTTTAACAGGAGGGTGCTAGGAAGGCAACACGTTGGCTGCACATAAGCAACTGCCCGGTCATTTCAAGACGGTGCCTAAGCTAGTGGCTGTGAGGCTATTTCCAGCTTCCAACCAAGTTACAAGACTGGTTCTGCTGGGAGCCAACCAACCTCACAGAAACCAGAGTTAAAAAGGTCTCCCTGCCTAGAGGCGCAGGGAACACGTTGTGGGGGGCAGACAGACAGACACCCATTTGGTGGAACTGAAGCAATCAGGCTGTCCTAGGCTTCTCCGTGGCAGTGAATAAGACAGCCATAGGCACAGACTGGTTCCTGTTTGATCCATCTCTCACGTTATGCCTGGCTCCTGCTGTGCAGGCTGACGGATGCTGTGGCAGTCTGGTTGTCCGGAATGCCAGCCCACAGGTATGAGCCTGCTCAGAGGGCTAGCTCAGTGGTTTGAGCATTAGCCTGCTAAACCCAGGATTGTGAGTTCAATCCTTAAGGGGCCATTTAGGGATCTGGGGCAAATCTGTCAGGGCTGATGCTTGGTCCTGCCACAAGATCATGGGACTGGACTTGATAACCTCTCAAAGTCCCTTCCCTTCTATGAGATAGGTATATCTCCATATATATATATAGACCTGTCAGGGGAAGTGCTGTAGGTGTTCTGCTTGGGGGCCAATATTTGATTGAGGGAACCATGTGAGTCCACCACAGGGAAGTAAAGGCACAAGACCTCCCACCTGAAGGGGTACATTCAAGGGGAGCAGCCAGCCCTGGAAACAGCACTTGCAAGTTGTAGCTTCAGGAGCTAGCTGAGTTCGTCTGTACAGGATAAACTTAAAAAACAACACAGGGTCTGGTAGCACTTTCCAGACTAACAAAACATGTAGCTGGGATCACGAGCTTTTGTGGGCACAGCCCACTTCTTCAGATGACCGGAGTGTTGAGTTCAGGGTGTGCACACTCAAAAGTCGTAGCTGTGACACTGACCCCGATGGGCTACCAGGAGTTAAAACAGTCCCCTCTGAATTAGTCCGGTTTTCTCCCGATACCCACATTCGCTGATTAAAGAGGAGCTCTGAGCCCTCCAGCCTGCAGAGAATCTACCTGACTGGAACAGATCAATGGTTTATCTACCTGGTCCAGTATCTTCATCTCCTAATAGTGACCAATGCAAGACGCTATAAGACAAGTGCCTTGTTTTCAATGCTGTGCCGGGGGCGGGGCCAAGGAAAGAAGAATTTCTTCCTGACCAAGCCAGCGATCAGCATTTCTCCTGAAGCACGCGGACCAAAAGCCCTTCCAGGTTTGATCAGAGCGACAATAACTGCAGGTGCCTAATCATCCTTTGAAGCGTTGCTGACAATAGTGGCACAAATTCCTCTCTCGTAGGAACTGATCTCGGGTCTATCCGTGCAGTCAGTCATACAATGCAGCCTGACGATGTCCCAAAGGTTTCACCTCTGTCCTGCAGCCCCCCCAGTGTGGTTTGAGCAAAGGGCTCCCTTTGCTCGGGGGGTCTGTATTTAACCGCTCTCCAGGACGAAGGGCTAACGGGGTCAGCTCAGCTCTCCCGTGGGTAGTCTGTCTCCAGGACACAGATGCGGTCAAAGGTATTCAAGCATGCTGCTTTCGAGGTCTCTAAGTCTCCAGCAGAGGACTGAGAAGGGCCCATGCAGAACACTGCATTCGTCCCCATCCAACGAGCATGTCCACGTTACTGGGCAAAACGCATGACATGGGAGAGGGAGAAAACAGCCACGCCAAACCCATGCCCTGCCGGCGCGCACTGTGAGAAAGCACGGCCCAACTCCGGCCGCCACTCTGGAGGTGAGAGACCCGCCTTGGGTGGAGGGGGAGGTTTCTCCATTGGCCCTAACCTTATTTACCTCTCAGGCCTGGCTGTACCTCCTCTTTCTGCACAGAGTTTTTCAAAGGTTAGTAACCCTAGTGCACTCAGCCATGCTGGGAGCCCTAGGGAGGCAAGTCAACTGTAGCTAGCACCATTTTAAGCATTTACCTCTCAGAGCAAGTCAAGACCATGCTGATGTGAAAGGACACAACTCCACTGACGTCAGTGGAGACAGACCCATTCACTGCAGCTGGGCTATGGTGCATCAGGTGGCCACAGGAGCCTTGCATAAGACAGGCCTTTGGCAGAGCAGGGAAGGGACGGCTGGCAACTCCTCTCACTGGCTCTCCCCACCAGTTCATTCCAAAATGTCTCAATGGCTTTGCAACCAAGCTTGCATAGCACCCACTTCACTGCCACCCTGGGGAGCAGGCAGAGTGACCCGCCCCCACTCTACGGGCAGCCAAGGCTGTTGCTTTGGATCCGTTCCCTCACAGCTTCCTGTGCAGCTAGTCTGGGGTAATAAAGCCTTATCCCAGCCAGCTCTCCCCCTCCCTTTGCCCACACCCACTGCAGAAAGGGTTTCCAAAACCCAAATGGGAGTCATTTTTCATAGGGGCAGCTAATCAGCCACCCTTCAACTCCCAGGTAAGTTAATCTGTTCAGGCAGCATTAAAGTTACAGAAAAACCTGCAGTGAGACTCCTGTTCTAGCAGATATATGGTGCAGCAGGGAGTTCCATGGGTTGACAATACATCACCTCACAAAGTATTTCTTTTTTGAAAAAGGCAATAGAAGCAAGCAGAGTGTGGTGGTTTGGGAAGAGTGCTCATCTGGGCAGCCTGGAGGGGGTAGGTGGGATATGGGTTCAAGGACTTCTCTCCACCGAGACAAGCATTGTTGTCAGGCTGGTCTCTCTATTCCGATGGATTCATTACCATCTCCAGGGGCAGGGAACCGGAGAGGAAGCAGGCTCTGGGTTAGTGCCCAACCAGGTCCCCAGTCACCTGAAAGGGTAGCCAAACTGCACAGAGATGGCAGTCATCTCGTTCACATCATCAGGGCATTTCACGGTGGCCCCCGTCTCCCCACTAAACGAGCCGCAGCATCCAAAGGCAAAAATAGCAAAGAGCTGGAAGAGAAAAGCAAAAGGGTTGGGAGTCAGAGGGACTCCGGCTGGGGATAATGAACTAGCCACATGCAACAGGTGCTAGCTGGTAGCTCTTCTGGGTTCACAAGGTGGCCCCAGTGATCACAGGCAAATACGCCTGAATTTATGTGGGGCATCGCAACATAACAACAGAGCAGCCACACATCCTCATCAAGGTAACCTCCTCACTGTTGCAATGTAGTACTATAGCCACCCGGCACCCCTGTCACCTGGGGCCAGGACCCTACGCAAGGAAGCCAGGAAGACACAGATCCCAGGATCACCCTGCCTCCCACGCAGCCGCTCGTCGAGCCCTCCCCTGGCAGCGGCGAACGGGGAGGAGGAAGCAGAGGTGGACAACCAGGCAGGGTTGTGACCCAGCTGGAGATGGAAGAGTCTGAGGAAGGTCCGGTAAGGGGCAGTGAGTGCAGCTGGGATAGAGGTGCTAGGATATGGAGCTGGTGGGACCTGGCCTGTGACCGCCTGCGGAAAGCCACCCCCAGAGCTCTCAGTCACTGTGCTCCTGGGCAGGAGCTGGCTGCGCTGGCAGCCTTGCAGGGAAAGTTCTCTGCGCCCCCTTAGCAGCCCTCTGTGCCAGCCCCTCTCCCCAGGTGGGTTTGCTGGAATCCTACGCGCTATGCTGCCTGACTAGCCCGTCTCGAGATGGGCCTCCCCCGCCACTGGTACGTGCCCCTCCTATGCGTGGACATCAGCACCGCCACCCTGGGTTACTCCAGCTGCAGAGCTGGACCACTGATTGCCACAAAGGGCAGAAATGAGCCCCAGAGCAGGGAAGTGACTTGCCTAGCCACGGGCACAAAGGCAGGGAGGAGAAGTGCTGGGCATAGAGCCCCAGTGTCTTAACTCACTGATCCCTGCTCGGATAGATCCCTCCCCCACCCAGCTGCACCAGGGAATATCGGCACTGCCAGGATAACTCCTCCCATAATTCTTCCTAACAAGGCCTGCAGGCTCTGGTGCTGGAGGGACTGGCACAGGCAGCTATCAGAAGGGACAGCACGCCAGGCTGGCGGGGCTATTGACACAGCATCGTGTCTGCTGTGCACTACACCCACCGCCAGCTACTAGCTGCTCTAAGCACCACGAACAACAGGGACTGACACAGGCATCATGGCTTGAATACAGCAAGAGTTGTCTCACTGCTGGAGACAACCGGGCCAACCCTCTCCCTGGGCACGCCGGGGCACCCAGGGCTCTGCTCACAAGGAATGCACTGAGCTGCAGGGGCAGACAGACCCACTGACTGCAGCAAAGCACCAGGATACCTGAGCACCCAAGGCAGTGAGCATGTGGCTGGCTAATTAAGCTTCCCTGTTCCAGAGATCTGTCGCCCCAGCGCTTCCTGTCAGGGCTCCACGGGGCCTGATCCCCACCAATGAACAGCTGACAGCCCTAGTAACTGCCAGAGCAGTTGACAGACAGCCCATGTGCTTAGTGATTCCTCCTCCCTGCTCAGCTCCTCTGTTCCATCCCTGCCCATCTGTGCCAGCAACACACGCTGGCTGGACTCCATACCAGAGATCTCTTCTTACTGGCTCCCTTCCCCACATTGCTCACTGCCCCGGTGAGCTGGCCAGCTTGTGCGCACTCCAGGAGGCTCTGCGCTGGCTTGGCAGATGAGGTGCACAGTGCAGGGGTGGGTGGGGGAAGCGGGACTGACCCAGGCAGAAAAGGGACCTGGATGGATTCCCATGAAAGCTAGCGCTGGAAATGCTTCTTCCCTGCCCCATTGACCTCAGTGGGGATTACCTGCCCCTGTGGAGGGGTGAGCAGGCACCTTGGGATCTCTGGAAGAGTTTCTGTCGCCACAGGCCCACCCAGAGAAGCTGGTGTCCCCAGAGTGGTTGATACAGAGACATGCAGGCAGGCGGGGTAGGCAGGAGCAGAGAATCCGGTAAAAGAAAAATCTGAATTTTCACAAGAACCTCAAGCTTCCTAATCCTGTCTCGTTGCAAAATGCAGCCCATGCCCAGGTCTCTCTTTGAGCCGTGCAGCTAAGGGCCTTTCCCAGACTGATGATGCTCAAGGGCCTTTCTGCTTCCAACCCCAAATCAGTTTTCAATTACAGGCACAAAAATAAACAGAAACAGGAAATGGTTACGAGACTCAAATGACATTTCCTGTTCTTGGTTCTGAGTTGAATTTCTCTTTCTCTTCCCCTGGCACGCGGCTTCTGAATAGTTTTCTGGTAACTCATTGCAGACACACTCAGCTCTGGTTAAGTTCATGCACCTTGAACTCTGGCTCCATGAGCAACAGGAAGAAAAACAACTGTCTGTGTTCTAAACAGGAAATGGTTACGAGACTCAAATGACATTTCCTGTTCTTGGTTCTGAGTTGAATTTCTCTTTCTCTTCCCCTGGCACGCGGCTTCTGAATAGTTTTCTGGTAACTCATTGCAGACACACTCAGCTCTGGTTAAGTTCATGCACCTTGAACTCTGGCTCCATGAGCAACAGGAAGAAAAACAACTGTCTGTGTTCTGGGGAGTTCCCACTTCAGCTAGAAAGGACCCATCTGCGGAACCAAATCCTGAACGGCACAGGGAGGGAATCACAGAGGTAAGGGGCAGAGCAGGCCCATGGATCACCTAAGCCATTGCCAGTCGGTGCAGAACTGTTCCTCACTGTATATTCCCAAGGGCTTTGCCCAGCTAATTTTCAATGATTAAAGCAGCGTGTCTCCCACCATTCCCTTGAGAGCTAGACCACCGAGAGCTCTTTGCCCCAGATGCTCAAAGGTATTTAGGCTCCTAACTTCCACTTGAAGCCCAACGTGGGCGGTTGGTGAAGGCACAGCTGGAGGAGGCAAACCCCCAGCCCCTCCTCCAGCTGTGAGCATGCACCCCCTCCCAACCACAGGGAGAGGAGGGGAGCAGGCCCGGCACACTCTCTTCCCAGCCCCAGGGAGGGCAGAGGGCATGCAGCATGGTCCCAGCCTCCCCAGCCCCAGAGGAGGGAACGCCACCGACCCGGTGCAGCTCAGCCTCTCCAGCCCCAGAGCACTGGTGGAAGAAGGAGAGCGTTCCACACGGCACGGCCTCTCCAGCTCCGGAGGAGGTCAGAGGCCCAGCCTTCCCAGCCTAGAGGAGGTTGGAGGGCGTGTGCCATGGCCCCAGCTCTGGAGGAGTTTGGAGGGCGTGTGCCCTGGCCCCAGCCCTGGAGGAGTTCGGAGAGCGTGTGCCATGGCCCCAGCTCTGGAGGAGTTTGGAGGGCGTGTGCCCTGGCCCCAGCCCTGGAGGAGTTCGGAGAGCGTGTGCCATGGCCCCAGCTCTGGAGGAGTTTGGAGGGCGTGTGCCCTGGCCCCAGCCCTGGAGGAGTTCGGAGAGCGTGTGCCATGGCCCCAGCTCTGGAGGAGTTTGGAGGGCGTGTGCCCTGGCCCCAGCCCTGGAGGAGTTCGGAGAGCGTGTGCCATGGCCCCAGCTCTGGAGGAGTTTGGAGGGCGTGTGCCCTGGCCCCAGCCCTGGAGGAGTTCGGAGAGCGTGTGCCATGGCCCCAGCTCTGGAGGAGTTTGGAGGGCGTGTGCCCTGGCCCCAGCCCTGGAGGAGTTCGGAGAGCGTGTGCCATGGCCCCAGCTCTGGAGGAGTTTGGAGGGCGTGTGCCCTGGCCCCAGCCCTGGAGGAGTTCGGAGAGCGTGTGCCATGGCCCCAGCTCTGGAGGAGTTTGGAGGGCGTGTGCCCTGGCCCCAGCCCTGGAGGAGTTCGGAGAGCGTGTGCCATGGCCCCAGCTCTGGAGGAGTTTGGAGGGCGTGTGCCCTGGCCCCAGCCCTGGAGGAGTTCGGAGAGCGTGTGCCATGGCCCCAGCTCTGGAGGAGTTTGGAGGGCGTGTGCCCTGGCCCCAGCCCTGGAGGAGTTCGGAGAGCGTGTGCCATGGCCCCAGCTCTGGAGGAGTTTGGAGGGCGTGTGCCCTGGCCCCAGCCCTGGAGGAGTTCGGAGAGCGTGTGCCATGGCCCCAGCTCTGGAGGAGTTTGGAGGGCGTGTGCCCTGGCCCCAGCCCTGGAGGAGTTCGGAGAGCGTGTGCCATGGCCCCAGCTCTGGAGGAGTTTGGAGGGCGTGTGCCCTGGCCCCAGCCCTGGAGGAGTTCGGAGAGCGTGTGCCATGGCCCCAGCTCTGGAGGAGTTTGGAGGGCGTGTGCCCTGGCCCCAGCCCTGGAGGAGTTCGGAGAGCGTGTGCCATGGCCCCAGCTCTGGAGGAGTTTGGAGGGCGTGTGCCCTGGCCCCAGCCCTGGAGGAGTTCGGAGAGCGTGTGCCATGGCCCCAGCTCTGGAGGAGTTTGGAGGGCGTGTGCCCTGGCCCCAGCCCTGGAGGAGTTCGGAGAGCGTGTGCCATGGCCCCAGCTCTGGAGGAGTTTGGAGGGCGTGTGCCCTGGCCCCAGCCCTGGAGGAGTTCGGAGAGCGTGTGCCATGGCCCCAGCTCTGGAGGAGGTCGGAGGGCGTGTGCCATGGCCCCAACCTCCCCAGCCCTGGAGAATAGGGAAAGGGTGCTGGGGGCAGCAACACTCCGCCCCAAAAGGCCTACTGCAGGGGTTCTGGGGGCAGAGCCTTCCCCCACCGTACACACTGGACATCCATGAAGCCTAAACACCTTGGAGGAGCTTGGCCTTTGTTACCCTTTGTTTTCTGACATTCAGCTGCTATTCTAGTGTCCCTCCTAGTCCTGCCCCTTCCAAGGCCCTCAATCACACCTTTCCCTCTCTGGTATTTACACCCTTTTGCTACTATTGGGTGGAAGGCCTGAACTTGCAGCCTGCGGAAACACATTCCATTCCAACTGATTTCAGTGCGAATTCCAGGTACCTTACACCTGTGACTCTGGCAAAGGGAGAAGTGAGGCCAATGTTCCCCAGACTGCCCGCTGATTCTGGGTGCTTCTATTTTGGGGTGTTTGACTTGGGGCGCTGAGCGCTGGTGGTGCCCACTGACTTTCATAGGGACTGCAAGCACTCAGCACCTCTGAAAATCAGATCCCCGCTGTCTCAAGTTGGGCTCCCAAAAAGGAGGGGTCCAAACCCTGAGCAGGTCTGGAAAGGTGTCAGCCATGAGGTGTGCACGACCCAAAGCGAGCAAGGGCACAGAGGCTGTGGGGGTGAGAGGCTAGATGTGGGGTGAGTCTATGTGGGTCTATTCCTAGCCCTGCAGTCACCTCCCCTGTTCCCAGCTGTAAAACAGGGGCCTTGAGGTGTGCTATGGGAGAACTGAATACTCTCATGGTATCTGTCGAGTACTGGCTTGGTAGCCGTGTAAGTCTGAATCTGCAAAAGCAACGAGGAGTCCTGTGACTAACAGATTTATCAGGGTATAAGCTGTCATGGGTAAAACCCACTTCATCAGATGCATTCACCGCACCAGAGCTGCGTCTGACAAAGTGGGTGGTGTCCACGAAAGCTCATGCCCTCCTACTAAATCAGTCAGTCTCTGAGGTGCCACCGGCTGCCTCGCCATTTTTGCAGATACAGACTCACACCGGCACCCCTGAGACTTTTGAGCATGCTGACCGGTTGTGCCACCGCCCTGAGGCATGAAACCAAGACCCTTCAAACAGTTCTCTCTGCAAACACTGGAACGCCCAGCGGTGTTATGAATACTGCCATTCTTCCATGGCAGTTTGTGCACAAGAGCCTTGGCAAATCATGGCTGAAAAGTGGGTGCATGGCTTCCTTTTATGGATGGGTATGCTGAGGCTCAGGGGGCGAAACAACTTGCCCAAGGTCACAGAGTCAGTAAGACTAGAACCCAGGAGCCACGGCTCTCAGCAGCCTGCTGACAACACCTTCTTTTGAAGGAGGTGGTGCATGTACTCCCCCCCCCCCCGGACAATGCCTTGGGGCAAACTGGAGCCTGGCGCAGACACTGTGAAACAACCGTAGCTTTGCCCTGAGAAGGCATGTTCCTTTTGGCCTTGCCGCCAGCCAGCTCCAGCGCTTGCCACCGGAGCCACTGATCAGAAGGTGGGAGAAGGCAGATCTGTTGGGGGGTCCCTCTTCCACTCAACCCTGCGTACTGGGGTCCAACGCAGGGCAAAGTCCCGTCTCTGCGAGGCAGGCGTCCCGGGAGCTCAGCCCCCAGGCCTGGTATGTGCAGGATCAGAGCTCTGCAAAGGTTAAAGCCCGCAG